ACAACTCAAAACAACCACAAGGACAGCAACAACCCAATAAGACTTCATTATAATTATAAGAAAACTCACATCTAAAGCATGAATCCTTACCTTAGGATGCCTTAGATGAAATCTCTACTCAAAACCCCTCTTAAATCCCTTAGAACTCTTGGAGAATTGGGTGGAGAAATTGAGAGAATATGGGCAATTGGAAGAGGCGGTGGAATGAAGATGAATAAAGGCTTTCTCTACACTTTACTCTTTTTAGTTCATATTAAAAGCTTCATTTCCCATTTTGCCCTTGCCCTTTCTTAGAAATTCCATCTATATCCTTTGATTCTTTACAAATACACAACCAACAAAACACAATCTCTACTAAATTTCCTTTCATTTTACTCCCCACTTTTCCTACTAATTAGGGGTAGAATGTCATTGTGTCCCAAAGGAAGAATTCTCTAGAAAACTCAAGAATCTTTGTTTTAGGCTCGTCGCCGCGGCGAAGCATTTTTCGTCGCCTCGGCGAAATAGGGCAGAACCTACCCGTAGTACAACTTCTTCTCGTCGCCGCGGCGAAGCTTCTTCTTCGCCTCGGCGAAGATTGGATTTCCAACTTCACCAAAACTCAACCAATTTTCAAGGCAACAATTCAACCAACTCAACATACAAACTCAATTAAAGTTGAAACAATAAACTTTTAACTAATACAACAAATCTTAAACACGTACCTCAAGTGGGATATTACAACTCGGCTCCTAAAAGTGGCAAATGACATCATATCGAAAGAAAAAGGACTTCATCTCGTATGCCCCCACATTGCTCTGGTAACTATGTATTCCCGCTCGATCGTAGGACGCTTGGAGAGGTAAAAAGAGTCCTTGTCCTTACTTTTCTTCAGGATGTACGAGTAACTGAGCTCTAGTGCCGTTAGCTCACCTAATCCGTTTTCGCCACACGCGATATACATAGACACGGCTATCATATACATGTTCGGCATGAGCTGACCTGACAAAAGGGTGGAAACGGATCAACCCTCCACTCTTAAAGTATTCTTGGAGATCGCAACCATTCCTTTTGGCGCATTCCGAGCTGTGTATGACCTATGTTGGAAGACCTCCGCGCTGAGAGCGTATTGGTCTATCACCTTCTGAATCTCCTCGGTGGTAATCATTGAAAGAATCTCTTGAAGGGGACCCGCAGGAGCATCTTACATAGGCGAGTTGGTCCCCTCATCTGTCCTGGTTGTTGGAGAATCCATTCCTCTGCAGTCTAAAAAAAGCGACATACAGGAATCACTCAATCGCCGTACACTATTAAGTACAATGACGTGGAGGAAAAAATAAAAGTTTCCTCCCTTAAACTATAGAAAAACCCTAAAAGAACATTTTAGAGCCACCATCAATGGCTCAAACCCAAGGAGAAGATTTCATCTCCGATCAACTACTGGCAGACTGTCATCGCATGGCAACTATCGAAAAAAAGAAAAAATATAATAAAAGTGGCAGAGGAACCATCCTTACCTTTTGGAATGAGAAGATTAATCCTCCTGCTCCGAATATCAAGCGCGCACCAGTCTGAAAGACAAAGAACCAAGGCTCACGGAAGTTTCTTGCTCTCTTTGAGAAAGTGAGTATTGTGACATTACCTGAAGTGAGCTTGGGGTTTTATAGCGAAGGAAGTGGCGCTTTCGTTTCCCGAAGTCAAACGACGTTTGGGCGAAAAACGCATCTCATCGTTGATCGCGACCACGTGTTGCAAATCAGCGAAGAAGAGTGACCGTAACGCTTCAAGAAACCAAATTGTCGTTCTCTTCCATTGAAACACTCAAGCGACGACTCCTTTCCCTCCTCCACATTAAATGCACCCACGTCCGTATTTAATGCCCTGATAGGGAATGTCGTTTCAGCATGGCTGGCACTTATTGCGCACAGGACACGTCTATCAGAACAAAAGGTGTTCCATCAATGCATCAGCTATAAAAGTGCAACAGATAAAATCTGAAGAGGTTGTTACATAAAACACTCTTCATCTTATGTTAGTCGCGAGGCGACGTGACTCTTCAACCTCATCTCGTGTCAGTCGCGAAGCGACTTGACTCTTCTATCTCGTCTTATGTCAGTCGCGAGGCGACGTGACTCCTCGATCTCGTCTTATGTCAATCGCAAGGCGACGTGACTCCTCGATCTCATCTTATGTTAGTCGCGAGGCGATGTAACTGTTCGACCTCGATGTATATCAGTTGCAAAGCAACGTGATCCTTTGCCTTCAGCGAAAATCTTGCTAAGTGTAAACAGGTCGTGAACCTTGGTTAAGACCAAAATCATTGTTATGGCACTGAATAAGGTCTAAGAATAGGTTGCTGACCCTTAGAATAAAGATCATTTTAGGTCGCCCGCGTGGGAGTGTTTTCCCAACCTCTTTGCAACCAGGTCAGATTGACCAGTATCTCTTCAAACATATCTCTCTAAGGTTCGATTCTCAAACCTTAAAAACTAGGGGACTTCTGTTATCCCTGGAAATGTAGGGCTAACGCAAAGCCTTGTCAACGCAAACGGTCAGAGCTTAAGTAAATCCTGTAGCCATTCAGACGCAGCCACGTCGCGTGCTGACATGAGCAGCATGCTCCTGCCAGTGTAGTGGGTGTGCACCAGAATGACGAAAGGCTAGAGGTGCTCCACGTGTCTAATCCCTGCACACGTCGAGTAAATCACTCGAGCAGGTGAGCAATAGGACACAAGGAATGATTTGCACGACAATCTAACCCACTTCTAGATTCAGTAATCATTACCTTAATTCATCCCACTATAAATAGAGGGCTTCTCTCCCGTTTGTGGGATTAGCTAATTTCTCTCTGGAAATAGCACATATACTCTCTCTCTCTCTCTCTCTCTCTCTCTTGTAATCACTTGTAAATTAGCTCACTGAACGCGATCTAATCTCATATATTAATACAATACCAGTGGACGTAGGATTCGCTTACTCAAGCATCCGAACCACTTTAAACATTGTTTCTCCATCTTTTACTACACGTGTGTCTTCTAAGCCAACTCAGCATTTCCCACGTGCGATTAGTTGGTGTCGAAATCAAGCATCAACAATTATATATATAGTTAAGGAAATAAATTACATTTAACTGTCTTATTATGAAATGATATAAATATCTTTAAGTAACACTGACTTGAAATAAAATTTTTTAAAAATTCAAAAAATTTTGAAAAATTAAGCCATTGTTGTGGACGACCATAATCAAGTTAACGTTAGTNTCATAATCTACACCCTCCTAAGGCAATACTAACACTGGAGCTGTTGCTAACCTCTTCTTTAACTCTTGGAAACAGTCCTCACAAGCTTCTGACCATATAAAAGGAGTCTACTGTTTGGTAAGAGCTGTCAATGGTTTAGCCAATTGGGCGAACCCTTCAACAAATCGTCTATAGTAACCTGCTAGGCCTAAGAAACTTCGGACCTCTTTTACTATCTTCGGCCTCTGCCATTCAAGGATTGCTTTTATCTTGCTTGGATCTACTGAAATCCCTTCCTTCGACACCGTATGTCCTAAAAATACCACTTGATCGAGCCAAAACTCACACTTCGAAAATTTAGCATACAACTGCCTTTCTCTCAACCATTGCAACACTATTCTCAGATGTTCCTCATGCTCTTCTCTTAACTTAGAATAAACCAGGATATCATCTATGAAAACCACTATAAATTGATCCAAACAATCATGAAATACCCGGTTCATTAAGTCCATTACTCATGCCGCTCTCTCAATGCGACGTACATGCGGGAATACTCTACCCATTACTAATGGGTTCCCCATCGCATAACCTACTCTATTCTCTTTCTCTTAACTCTTAAAGAACTTATACTCAAATTCTCTACTGTACCTCAAGCTACATCTTACTGCTTAAGTGCAAAAACAAATGTGTAAAGCTAGCTCATGCTCACTAATGCACTAATGAAATGCCAAATACATGATTTCCTCAAAACCGTCATTCTGCACCAGTCACACTAAAAAGACCATAACTTGCGTTATACACCTCGGATTGCTACGGTTCTGTCTCTTTTTAAAGCTTAGAAACAGGGCTACAACTTCTATGTTTTGGTCTCAGCCCAATTCAAACTGTAAGATACCCAAAAATCACTTAGATAGTTACGGCAGTGACAGGGCAGATTTCACTTAGGCATTTCCTCAAACAACTCATGTGCATATAAACACTCTACCAANTGACTCACTTTAACAGGTTTCAAATTTAATCTCTCTATCATTCCATGAGATATAAAAGAATGAGTGGCTCCAGAATCAATCAAAGCATATAAAGAAACAGCATGAAATAATAACTGACCAGTTACGGTTGATGGACTGGCCTCGGCTGATGGACTGGCCTCGGCTTCACCCTGTGCCACTGTAAAAAACCTAGCATTTGTACCTCTAGGGGCCTGAGCCATCGGTGGAAAGGGAGCTTTACAATCCCTCCACATATGCCCTGGCTGTCGGCACCTGTAACACACGTTTTGATCCCTCAAACACTCTCCTGAATGGTTCCTCCCACATTTAACACAAGGGGGAAACCCTTTTGTCCTGGGCCGCTTGTATTGTTACCCTCTCCTATTCTTCCTTGGTTGAAACTTCTTCTTGGCCCTTACTTCTCTGTTCTTTGAGACATCTACTCTCTCCCTCTGTAAGGTGGTGGATGGCTCACTAGGTACTGTTAGAGTCAACCCTTCTGCAATATATTTGTTCACATAAATCTCTGCCCTTAAAGCCCGTGCTAGAGCTTCACTGTAGGTATGAGGGGGCTCGACTCCTGTCATTACATCTCGAGCAATATCTGATCTCAACCCTTGCACAAACTTGTCTCTCCTTAACTCCGGTGTATACACTATTCCGGGTGCAAANAAAGGGCAAGGTAATGGTGCCATGCTTGAGATGATGATGAGTAAGGTGACAATCGATCTCAATGTGCTTAGTTCGTTCATGAAAAACCGAGTTGTGAGCAATATGAATAGAACTCTGGTTGTCAAAATACATAGGAGTAGGATGAGAAAGAGAAACTCCCATATCTGCAAGTAACCAACGCAACCAAACAATCTTTTTAGTAGTAGATGCCATAGCACAATATTCTGCTTCGGTTGAAGATTGAGAAACAATAGATTGTTTCTTGCTCTTCCAAGAAATAAGAGAATCACCCAAAAATATATAGAAACCAATAACAGACTTGCGATCTATGGGATCACTGCCATGATCAGCATCAGAGTATGCACACAGCTCCAAGGAAGAGGTGGATGGAAGCAAAAGACTCTGAAAGACTGTACCCCGAAGATACTGCAAAATATGAAGAACAACTGCCCAATGAACTGTAGTAGGAGAAGCAACAATCTGACTAACAACATGAACAACATATGCAATATCTGGGCGAGTAATAGTGAGATATACCAAGCTCCCAATAATAGTACGGTATAAAGTAGGATCTGACAAAGGTAAACCATCAGAAGAAGAATACTTTGCGTTAACCTCAATCAGAGTATCTACAGTCTTATTATCAGTAAGTCTAGCCCGCTCAAGAATATCTACAACATATTTCGACTGAGAAAGAAGATAACCTCTAGGTGAGTAGGCTACCTCAATACCCAAGAAATATCGAAAAGAACCCAAATCCTTCAGTTCAAACTGTTCCAACAATTGCAGAAAGATTTGGAGCAATATATCCCATTCTGCTTTCTACAAAATCCAAGATTTTCTGCTTCGCTCACATGACTCAATTGTCATTTGGAGGACCTTTTCTGGAAGTGGCTTACCACTTATGGTTGAAGCTGTAAATGAAACCACCATAATAATAGTTGAGGGCAAAAGCCCCTCCAGATCAACAACGGTCATTACCAATCTTTTTCACAAGATAAGCATAATCAATAGGGTGATGGACAAGTAATTCAAGCTCTAGAAATTTCAACCGATTATTGTCACGAATGATAACAATTTCATTCTTAATATCTACTGATAATGCATATTTTTATCCACAATCAACAGGTATTCTGGATCATCTTCTAATATAATTCCATGATCCTCAAGTGCATCTTCAACTTTCTACATTACATTAGTATGTCTGAGTTTTCTGCAATTTTGAAACATTATCCAGGTCATCATAGTCAAGAGCTTCTACATCTTTCAAGAGGTCATCGTCGACCGTATCTTCCATGTTTGGGTCGTCTAGGAAATCCGCAAGAGTAGCCATAACAATAAAAATTTACTTAATCACTTCGGGAATCTTGTTTTGAACTGTTGAAGGCTATTATGTTATGTCATTGAATGAATAAAGAGATTAGCTAGGTTGTATATATAGTCTCTAAACTATAACATTATTATCATTAGAACAATCACATTTACATTTGATAAAAGGCTTGGCAGTAGAGGAGTCGATGGCGGCTCCACTGTATGGTTCTCCACTTTTATATACTCAACAAATATTATAATATCCAAAGTGAGACCCTTGTTGAGTAAAAAATCCACTCTTTTATAATAATTGTACAAAGGGATTTTGTTGTAAAATGAGACCAAAAACCAGAACAAATATATATATGCAGTATTCAAACCAAGCAACCACAAAATCTACAGCAAAAATCAATAAGCAAAAATGACAAGAAAATAAAGAACACCAGATTTTGGTAGTGGTTCGGTAATCTGATAGATTACCTAAATCCACTCTTCAGGGCAAAGAAAAGAATCACTATGAGAAAATGAGAAAACCTTACAAAGATCAGGCTCACCCCCTTTTACACAAGGCACAACCCGAGAAAACCCCTCTGATTACACCGTCCAGATGCTCTCACCACTCATACATCATCAAATAGGTAGAATTAGTGACAGATTTATACAACAAAGAAAGGTAAAACAGATAGGAAAGCTAAGACCTACCACCACCATTTGATTCCATCAACGTTCTTTGGATTTCCAGCACAGCAGATTCTAACAACTTTCTCTCTCTGTTAACCAAGAGAGAAAGATCGAGAATGAGCTACACAAAACCTAATTCGAATTAGGTTTATTAAAGATATCAGAAAGATGGAAAATGCCCCTTAAGTCTTTAACAAATAACTTTGACCACCCAAAGGTAAAAGTTGACTTCCATGTGTGTACATATCAATTGCCACATCGCAACAAATCTCTATCTTGGCATTTGATCTTCTTCCTTTCTTACTGCCTTGGAAAATTCCTGTAGTTTTCTTCAATATGTAGAAGGCTCTTAAAGAGCCTTAACTTATCCAAAGTCACTGACTTAGTGAACATATCTATTGGGTTCTCCTTTCCAGGAATTTTCTCCACCTTAATGACTTTATCTTCAATCAGATTTCTGATGAAATGCAGCCTAAAATCGATGTGTTTCGACCTCTCATGAAAAACCTGATTTTTGCACAGAACAATTGCACTTTGACTGTCACTCTTGATTGGAACTTGTTGTTGAAATAGTCCCATCTCATCAAGCATTCCCTTGAGCCACATTGCCTCCTTGACTATCTCTGTAATTGCAACATACTCTGCTTTCGTGGTGGACAAAGTTACAATAGCCTGCAAATTAGCTTTCCACCAAACCAGATTATTCCAAATGGTAAAACATAAACCAGTCATGGATTTCCTATTGTCTACATTTCCAGCATAATTAGCATCCATACATCCCATGATGGAATTCTCCTGAATTTGCCCTCTGCTGTAAACAATACTAGTAGACAGTGTACCCCTCACATATCTGAGCACCCATTTTACAGCTTCCCAATGACTCTTTCTAGGGTTACTCATGAACCTACTTACTGAACTAACTGCAAAGGCTAAATCTGTTCAGGTACAAACCATTAAATACATCAAACTCCCTATTGCATTTGCGTATGGGATACAAGCCATTTCCCTCTTTTCTTCTTCAGTTTCTAGACACTGGGTTACACTAAGCTTAAAATGCTGACCTAATGGTGTTTTGACAGGTTTAGAGTCAAGCATGTTAAACTTCTTGATTAATTTTTCAACATACTCTTTCTGTGACAACACAAGACTCCCAGTTTTCCTATCCTTTTCAATGTTCATACCCAAAATCTTTCTAGCTTGTCCTAAATCTTTCATCTCAAATTTTTTACTCATCTCCCTTTTGAATCGATCAATTTTAGAAAAATCCGTACAAGCTAGAAACATATCATCCACATATAAAGACAAGTAGATGTAGCATTCACCATACAAGCATTTGAAATAGAAACACCCATCAAAGCTACTTCGGATGAAACCAGCATTCAACATAAAATAATCAAATTTCCTATACCACTGCCTAGGTGACTGCTTCAACCCATATAAAGATTTTTTCAAAAAACAGACTTGGTTTTTAGGCCCCTTTTCAAACAGTTCAGGTTGTTCCATTAGAATTTTTCTTCTAAATCACCATTTAAGAAGGCTGTTTTGATGTCTAACTGCTCTAGTTCTAAACCAAACTGAGCTACCAAAGATAACAGTATTCTAATGGTAGTATGTCTCACTACAGGTGAGAAAATCTCATTGTAGTCTACCCCTTCAACCTGTGTAAACCTTTTTGCCACTAATCTTGCTTTAAACCTAGGTGCTTCTACCCTTGGTATGCCCTCTTTCCTTTTGAAAACCCATTTGCATTTAACCACTCTACTGCCTTCAGGTTTGTCAGTCAAAATCCAGGTTTGGTTTTTGATTAAGGAATCATACTCTTCTTGCATGGCCACTTTCCACTGCCTAGATTCTCTACAACTCATGGCTTCCTTAACAATTCTAGGTTCCTCATCAGTCTCTTCAGCAACTTGAAGAGCAAAAGCTACCATATCAGTATGTGAGTACCTACTAGGTAATCTGATTTCCTTTATTTCTCTATCTCTAGCTCGTTGATAATTTTGCAAATCATTTTCAACCCTATCATTATCACCACTATCATCTAGGCTAGGTTCATCCTCCTCGGTTTGAACATCTACATTAGGATCTGGACCAAGACTGTTCAGGTTTGAAATTTCTCCACCTAAATCCAAGTTAATCATCTCTGTCCTAACTGTATTATCACTTTCATTATCACTCAACCCATTTTGATTTAGACCATTCACCTCATCCTCATTAAACCTAACATCTCTACTAATTATGCATCTTTTTCCTACAATATCCCAACACATGTAACCTTTTATGCTATCAGGATACCTTAAGAAAATACATCTAATGACCCTTGGTTTTAGCTTATTAGTTTTCTCATGAACAAAAATAGGGCAGCCAAAAACCCTAAGATTACTATAATTAGCAAGATGCCCAGACCACTTTTCCATGGGTGTTGTGAAACTAAGAGCTGAGGAAGGGATTCTGTTAATTAGGTAAACAGCTGTGTGAGTAGCTTCTGCCCAAAATTTGGTGGGTAACTTAGAACAGGATAACAGGCTTCTAACCTTTTCAAGAATGGTCCTATTCATCCTCTCTGCTAAACCATTCTACCAAGGCGTGTGTCTTACTGTTCTATGCCTCAAAGTTCCACTCACCCTACACAGGCTATCAAATCTTCATTGATAAATTCTAGCCCATTATCAGTCCTAAGTTTCCTGATTTTCTTCCCAGATTGGTTTTCTATCATAATCTTCCAATCCTTGAACTTCCTAAAGGCCTCTCCCTTAGTTTTCAAAAAATAAATCCACACCCTCCTAGAGTAATCATCTATGATGCTAATGAAGTACCTACATCCTCCCAAAGATGGATGTTTGGTTGGCCCCCACACATCAGAATGGATGTAGTCCAAAATGCCCTTACAACAGTGGTTTCCCATAATAAACCTCATCTTCCCATAAATACAGTGATCATAGAAATCTAGCTTCTCTATTTTATCCCCTCCTAAAGCATTCTGCTTACTTAACTCTATCAATCCTCTCTCACTAATGTGCCCCAACCTTTTGTGCCAAATAGAAGTCTTGTTAGGTTTCTGTGAGGTCACTGCTGCTATTCCAGCAACAATGGATCCATTTAGAACATATAAGCCATTCTTTTTCTTTCTTTTCATAACCACTAAAGACCCTTTAGTAACTTTAAGCACTCCACCTTGAGCCTTGCAACTAAAATCATTTGAGTCTAAGCTACCTAAGGAGATTAGGTTCCTTTTCAACTCAGGTATGTACCTAACTTCTGAAAGGGCTCTTGAACTGCCATCATAAAGACATAACCTGACATCCCCAATGCCTAAGACACTACACACTGCATTATTCCCCATTAGAACCTTTCCAAATTCTATTTTCTTAAAATTCATCAGTGAACTCCTATTTGGAGTCATGTGGAATGTGCATCCAGAATCCAAAATCCACTCAGACTTAGATTCTCTATCAGAAGCTACTAGGACATCAGAGCTTTCATATCCATCTGAAGCTTTGAAGCTATATCTACATTGCCACTAGCCTCTTTCTCTCCTGATCTTTTCTTTCTATCTGGACAGTCTCTTTTAAAGTGCCCTTTCTTATGATAGTGAAAACACTTCCTCACAAAATTGGATTTTGACTTAGATCTACCGCTAAAATGATATTTCTTTGACATCTTTTTCTTAGATCTACCTCTGATATTTAGTCCTTTTCCATCTAGCTTACCCGCCTTTTTAAACTCAACATCCTTAATGGTAATGACTACTACTACTTTATCTAGTTTAAGAGTTTGTCTACCATACTTAAGAGTATCAACAAAATTTGAGAAAATTTTAGGAAGAGAATTAATAAGAATCACAGCTTGATCTTCATCCTCAACTTTAACACTAAGACCTTCTAAATCCTATACAAGTTTCATAAAGTCATTCATATTGTCACCTAATATTTTGTTTTCATCCATTTTAAAACTGAAAAATTTTTGTTTTAAAACTAACCTATTAG